TGTGCAAGAGAAAAAATAAAAACAATAAGATCAGAACTGAACTGTTAAAACAAGATCTACATTGCCTTGGATGTTGAGATTCACTTATGTAATATGAAGCATTCATAGGCACCGACTTGTTCCTGAAACCATAACCTGCACATTATATGAAAACAGAGACGTACAAGCAGTGAATATTTCCCACACTGTAAAGTATTTGGATTGGTTAACAGCACCTAACTGTAAACAACAAGTTAACATTGTGCTAGGAACACAGAATGGGTGCCTAATGTTTCTAAAATAATGCCTGAGTTGTCCAAGGTATTTCTTGTAACTTTTAACTGTAAAGCTTCAGTGTGACAGTGTCCAGGTGATATAAGGTCATATGATGTATATCTAACACGTTCTTCCACAAAAAGCCTGTTTAGCTGCTCAGCTGTAAAGGACATCACATGAAGTTATTGATTCCATATATTATGTGTGGTGGAATGATTAAACACATCACAAAACAGTGATGAGTACGAAATAGTTCCACATACGACGATCTCTCTGTAGTCCTCTCATGCATGGAGTGAGCAGTTCAGAGCTGTTCTCGGTCCATACGTACAGGGCCAAGGGGGCTCTGCACAGAGCTCTGCACAGCCGCATCCCAGTGCCTCCTCTCAGGCTAAGGAACACTTTCCTGGCACAGACATGCAAACAGCAGAACTTTGCCCACAGGCTGCACAGCTGCTGCCAATGATGCTATGGTCATTTGCAGGCAAAGCAAAGATGGTTTGAATTTAAATTCTGGTCGGTTTGAATTAAATTTTTAAATTGTCCCCAACACTCTCAGCAGCTCAGTTCTGGGCTAATGTACACCTGTCAGGAGGGTACTTTTAAATAACAGCACTTGATTTTAATTTGATATAAAGAATGTCAGGGTTTGATTCTCCCATGCCCCCCCTTTTTGCAGCAACCCTTCCTGCTCCCCATCCCATCTGATCCCGTCAATGGGTGGCTGGGAAAGCAGCAGAAGGGAAGGAAAGGCACTTCAGAGTAGAGGATGGCAGAGCTACTGCTGCAGGCAGGCCTTCACCAGCAGCATGAAGGAAGTAGAGATTTTCTCTATACAAAAAATCTTCTTCAAGGCAGTTTCTGATGACCATCAATTCTCAAGATACTCCTTATACAGTGCCCGGAGGAACTGGGCCTGACATGAAGGAGCAGATCTCACCTGACCAATCTGACTAAAATTCCTCGACCCCGGGGATGTCTCATACTATACAGGACCAGGTGTCCCCTCACTTAAAATATACACACCAAGTTCTAGCATAACAATATCAAACTATTAACTTTGTTATGTTGCAGTGTTTTTTACAGGCCCCATTCATGATCAGGGCTTCATTTTGCCATTGTTGTATATGTGACAACCATTATATTACAAATACCCAACAGGCTAAGTAGACAGGAAAGAGAAAATGGAAGTAATCTCCATTATTTTAATTTGACACAGGGCTTAATTCAATTGAGCAAGATCACTTGAAAGGTCTGTGGCAAAGCCATTAGTTAAACATAACTAAATAAGCACCAGTCATAACAATAGGCTGCTTTCCTGCAGTGTCTTTTATCTAAAGGCTTCTGAGTATTCCAAACAGTTAGTATCATGACAGAAGTGAAATAGGAAAAAAAAAAAAAAAAGGCAAAGCAAAATTTGCTTCAAACAGAAGCAAAATAGAAAAAGCCTGTTTCAACCACTTAAACTGAGACAATTTATGTCCCAAACCACACTCTGTCCTACTTTATCCAAGGTATAAGTAATGCATCTCAGTACACATAGTGAAATACTTTAAGGTACAAGTTTGTAAAAAAACCTCAAAACATGCAAAACAAATCTTAAAAGCTCACAGTTTTGTTTTGTAAGTGCTGCTCAGCTCTTCAGGCCCTCTCTTCTGTGAGCTGTGCGCTCATCGAAAGGATTGGTTGACTACATGGTTACACCTTAAAGTTGCCATAGGATGAAGCAATGAATGTCATTTTCCAACACTGTAAAAGAAATTTAGAATTTGAATAGAATTCATAACTTCATTTGATGTCTACAGCACTGTCCGGTGCCACAGAGCAATCGTCTTAAGAATGCATCCATAACACGTAAGCACAGGTGATGGGTTATTTTGGTTTTGTTCAGAGATCTACCCCAACCTTTTATTGGTTTTGTATACATATTTACAACACCAGCACATACAGTGTTTATACTGATTTTAATATGGCCAAAATAAGAATTTCGCCCATCTCTGATCCCCTCTGCGTGCAGCTTCACTTAAGCTATACTCCAAGGATATAATATCTTCATACAAATGTATTGTGCAGCCTTTTTGACAGTGTACTGATGACAAAATTCTCTACTCATTGCTTAGCTGTAAAATATGGAAGAAATATCATTAGAATTCAAGTGCCTAAGAGGAGAGGGAAAATGTCTGTCATTACTAATACAGTCTTTAGCTTCAGAAAACCTTCTGTGGTTGTTTTACTTACCTGCCCAAAAACCAGTTTTCCATTACCCACTCCTTGACTATACCTATGT